TAGAAAGCAATATTTTCTACATCTAAAAAAATAATATAATTATTTTTAACTTGAATCTCCTAATTCCATAAAATACCTAATCTAAAACAATATTACTTTAATATTTTTAATTTTTCAAAATGTTTTTTTCATATGTACAAAAGACGTCTTCAAAGTGAAGACGTGGACACAACTGAAAAAGTACAAAATAACAATTTACTAATAGTAATAGTGTAATATCTATTTATAATATCAGTTTTTCAATACCAAAATATTGCACATCTAGACTTAAGTGCATGCACTGGGGGCCTAGTACTGACGATTCGGTAACGAAATTCGGTTCGGTAAAGAGAAATTACCGAATTTTGCTAGTACTGACGAAAAATACGGAAAAAATAGTTCGGTTACTCTTACCGAATTCGGTAAAGTATATGTTATTTAACCGACAGGTAATTAGGTGTCGGGAAGCTATTCGGGAAGTTGTTATCAAAGTTTTATCAACGTTCAATAACATTTTTTCTGTTTATAAATTGTGTTTTTAGTTAAGTAAAAACAATTGCGCGTTATAAACAAGGCAAATATTTTATCAGCTGGAATAATTCAACGCCGACCTCCACCAAGGCATATACATATGGTTTTGGTACGGACCAAGAGTTTGTAAGAACTTTTAGGCTTACTAAACTCTTAGCCAAAGATCTTATTTGTAAACTAACGCCATATCTTCATATCTTTCATCGTCTCAGCATTCGTGCGAGTGGGAGGGGCTGCCGTGTATAGGTAGAAAATAAAACCAGTTGTTATTGTGACATAGCCTACTATGTATATATATATACTCTATACATGATATCGATAGAGCAGTAATATTTACTTTTTTTTAGGGTATGTTAAATATTTTGTATTTGTTTATACTTAGCTGTGTAATATTAATCTATGTTTGGTGTCCCTGAATATAATAAATGACAATAAAAATCCTCTCTTCCTTTTTCAGTATGTCAGATGGTCGGCGCCAAGTCACCATTAAAATAAAACATCAGTGTATCTTACGTTACCCATCTAGACTAAAAACCTTAGCATTGAAATTTGCAAAGCGTTTTAATTTTTAATTTTTATCCATCTGTTCGTTTGCTATGACTTAGTAAGGATTTGAATTTAAAATCAATATTTGTTCGGGTTTTACAACAGTAGCGCTTCTATTTGCCATTAAATGATAATAATATTGGTCTCCCATCGATATTATTGTCACCGATAATCAGAAATAAATAACACTCGCTCCAATTGTTATTTTTTAATATATGGCCAATCGATTCTTACAAAGACACCTTGTACAACCGTTAATAGCTATATATATATATTTTTTTTTTTTTATAATGGCCGGGTCTTTGCATATGAGACTTTTCGAAAAAATGTGGGTTATCTGGTATTGTTACCGAGTCGGTAAAAAAGATTTCGGTAATTTACCAAATCGTCAGTACTAGACCCCCTGGACCCAACTTGCAGACCGATATCGCCGAAATCTTACTCATATGTCGCCCAAAAAGGTTTGCCTTCACCGCCGACATTGTGAAGATGTACCGACAAATTCTAGTTCGCTCTTAAAGTAATTTATGATGAAGAGATAGCACAGTAATACCTTTAATAATAATTTAATAATTTAAAAATTAAAATCAATATTTTTTTTCTACAGTATTATATTTTCTAAATTACAGAGAATTGAAAGGTTGAAAAAGAAAATTAAAGAAGAAAAGGACCGCTTGTTGGAAATATAGAATATGTACAAAAACATAGTACAGAAGACGTTTCAATTGTATGGCGCCGGTGCAAGTGTATTTGGCGTGCGCCATATTACTAAAAGACAAGAAGACTGTAACCACCAGCTAAATTTAACCCTATCGACCAAGGTTACAAAAATTAAGTTTGCTGATTAATCAATATAAAACTTGTTTTTAATTCTTATTTCCTCACACAATGTATAAATTCCATTGTTAGTCAACGTATAAATTAAACATTTTATTTGTTAAAGTAATTATTTGAAGGTTCGTTCGAAGAGTCAAACGGCGAGCCTTCGTCTAAAAGTTCATAACGATCTAAACGATCCAAAAGGTAATGCCAGAGTAAAATCGCGCAAGAGAAAAGCTGAGGAGGAAATCAATCGTGAAAATGTTATTTGTGATAGTAATAATTTAAAGGTTGGATATAATATAACGTGAAAAATAATTTATGAATTAAACGTTTTTTCAGAACTAAACGCACATAATTTAGTGTTTAAATTAGTATGATTTAACAAACAATTTGTTGCTAATTTTTTTGACAAATTTAATACACGTTCGTTTTGTATACATATACTTTAAAATACTAAAAGTTTTGAATTTAATCACAACAGCAAAATTTAATATCCTTATTATTTAAGTTAACTGTCAAACTGTAAGTGTTGTCAAAATAACCCTCCAAAATGTTCACTGCGTAGTATTATATAGGCACATTTCGTATATTACCTACAAATAAAATGACCATCACATGTATTACATAACTTTATAAAATTAAATTTTGTAACCTTTAGAATTTATAGCCAAAAGAATTTGCTGACTAAATTTTTAATTTATAAGCCAAATACCTAAAATGTTTGTAACAGCACAGGTATATGCTATTAACAATCGTCATTTAAATGAAATAATTAATGTTTAAAAATTAATATGATCAATTGAGATTGATCAAATTGAAACATTGAACAGAAACTCAGTTCAAAATAACCCACAGAGTACCATTGAAAATTACATTCGGCCATCGACAGCATCAATAGACTTTTTTAATAATTTCTATTTTCTGGTCAGGTGGCACTGCTGAGAGCCTTCCTATTCCTACATTATTGAATATTGTCACTGTATCTTTGTCATCAGACTTACTGATTATACATATTGTATAGATTGTAAATAAATAAAATATATTTCTTAAAAAAAAAAAAAATAATAATTTCTACGCACGCTTTACGATTTTCGTCCATTCAATTAAAATAACTTTTTTTTTAATAAATATTGACACGTTTACAAAAAACAAAGGAATTTGCAATCTTTGACAGTTGACACTGCTGTTCATAAAAGTTCGCACCTTCACCAGCCGTTATGCCAAGCAAACTGAGTATTGACAAAAATCTATACTGACAATATGAGGAGTACACTGTCAGTAATGTAAAATAAAATATCGTATGCACCGATAAAATAATTATTGGTGCCTTCACCTCACACACAGAAAAAAGAATTGTTATTTTCATAATAATTTAAAATAATTTTTTGTAGTTTAGCTTACCAAATAGCAGTTTATCATTTTTGAGTAAACAAATTATCTTTATTCCAAAAAGTTTAAATGTGAATCACCATATTCAAAACGTATGCCGAACTTTTCTTATATATGTTTTTCAAAACTACTCCAATGGAATTAAACGCAAATATATTTGAAATGAACGTAAAACGACATGTGTTAGTATTCACATAAACAGTTTATCTCTGTACGATTAATACTCAATGGTATTACATTAGCACGGCAATTTTTAGGTAACATTTCATAATAACACTAACAGTAATAAACGTCAACACGTACAAACTATTGTTACTAAAACGAATGGTCTTGATATTGATAGGTAAAATGTTTAACGTGTTTATAGTAGTGTATAATAAAATATAAGACTTTAGAGCAAAATTTAAGCAGGTGTAGTTTAGACTTTAGACTACACCTGAATTATCAAAACAAACGTATCAGTTGACAGTTTCATACAATTCTAATATTCTTTTTGGAACTTGGATGTACAGCATCTATCCGGGTTACTATTAGAAAATCGAAAGTTGGTGTTGATTTTGAGGAAGAGGGGAGGTAATTTTTCATACAAAAACTATAAATTAAACATTTCATGTAAAAATCGAAGGAATTTTTTAGTAAAGTAGTAAAGGGCGTTAAAAGAATCACACTGTATATTTTTTATTTTTTAAACTTTCCAATATTAGTTTAATATGATATTTTTGACTTGAACAACAAAACTAGCTTCGAACATTTTAAGCAATAAATGTTTTTTCTTTAAAATAACGAATTTTGGATTAATAATTACTAAATCATAATGTAATTTTTTTATAATGAATATCGGTTAATTATATTATCATTATTCAATCCAATTCGTTTTAAAATTCGATTCCAACGCGAGGTCTCGTTTTGGATTTCACAGATTTCTTCTTTTCATTTTGGGCTGCAATTTACCCTATGCCTTCAATTTCCTTATGTAATTATATTACATAATCATAATATTAGAGTATCTATACAATTTTTTACAAAACTTCTATAGGTATGTTAACCTGTATAAAATTGTTCATACATATTGAATAACAAATAATGATTTTCTTTAAAAATACTAATTACGGATAAATAGTTGGGTAATTAAACTCGTGATTTAAACAAAAACGAAAAATGCCAAACTCTGAATGAGATGAAAAAGGTAGGGTTATTTGAGTTCCAACTCAAAGTACACAAAAAAAAATCCGCCTGTAGTCTAGAGAACATTTTAATCTTTCAAAAATATAAATAATTTTCACGGTCAAATAGTATTTTATGAAAATCGAGTGGTAAACTTTAGATGTTCTATTAAGTAAACAATTTGCATAAAGTATGCACACACGCGAAGGCAATCACGCGATAAGTCGAGCGAACAATTATTATTCCGCGGTAAACAAAAAAAAACGAAACTCCATTTTAACAAAGAAAATAGGTCAACTAATTAGTAGTTAATAATTGATTCAATCGTTTAATTTTGTAATATATACATAATATTTGTTTTTAAAATTATTATATCGTGATGATGAAAACGGGATATCGCAATTATCTATCGATAATTCATTATACTCGTTGCATTGTTTCAAAACGGTAATTGAAAACTTCTGTCGGCGCATATGGTGAAGATGCTTTTTTTGTTCAAGCAATACACAATAATGTTATTATTCCCACTATATATAAGACTGTGTAAAGGCTTTTGGAATCATATTCGACCCGTCGACAGAATAACAACCGACATCGTTCATTTCAACAATCGAAGAAAACACTAAAAACCATCGACAAAAATGTTCCGTCAATTCATCATCATCGGATTGGCTTTGGCTTGTTTCGTACAGGTTTGGTTGAGTTTAATTTTACCTTTATTACCCAAAAAGTTTTACTAAAAAAAAATTATTAATAAAAAAATGATGTATGTGGGTTGATAGCTATTTTTATAGAATAAGCGAATTTCGGGTTACAAATAAATATTTATTTTTTATTTTTTAAACAGTCTTTCGGTAGGGACTCGTTAGGTTAGGTACAGCTTTTCACTAATATAATTTTTGACACTATCAGAGTGGTTCTTGACTAGTCAAATTTTTAAAAAAAAACCGAAAAAGATAGAAAGAAACACAGAAGTGCAGTTAGTCATAATTTTAGATTTAAGCCGAGCTTATTGTAAACATACATAGGAAAAAACAAGATTTAATTTTTAATATCTTTATTTCTATTTAATTTTTATTCGTGAAAAAATGAATTATTAAATAACATTTTTTAAATAATTATGTATCTATGAATACAAATTATTATTTTATTCATTCATAAAACATTTTTTTTAAAAATTGTATTCGTTTCCTTTCCAATAAACATTTACCAAGCACTTGGATGAAGTATAACAAAGCTTAAAAGCTTAAAAGTGTCTAAAGCTGGAAATTTAGAAGCATTATAATTTCTAGCTTTAGCTCAAAATCTCACGAATTTGTTTCAACTGTCAATTGACTTGTGTCGTCATTTTACTCAAATGTTTAAATACATCTTGTGTGTATGTCAAAACGGCATAAAGGTAATTTTGAAGAAAAAAAATACCTGTGTGGTTTCTGCTAATAGCTATTCAATTATTGTTTATTATGTAACTATACCACGTACGACATTCTAATTAATATACGCTTGCAGGTGGCCCATTTTATGCCATCGTCGGCAGTGGCACGAGACGTTCCCGAGGGAGAGACCGACTCTGCAGGTGCTGCTGGAGGTGCGCAAAATGCCGTTATGGGTGCTGTGAACGGTGCAAAGGAAGTGGGAACGTTGGTTACTGATCAAGTACTCAAGAGCATTAACCAGGTGTTGATTGCAAACGCCAGGGCTCTGACCGCTTTCGGAGGTCTTTTCGGCTCCACCGCGAACGGAATAACCAAGGGCACTTCGTCGGTGTTCAACGGGTTATCCGGGGGTTTCAAGCAATTGGACAACGTCGTTCAACCGTTGCCGATCTTAAACACGTTATCGTCCGGCATATCACAAACTCTGGACGTTTCTGCCAACACCCTGGCCTCCGTCACCGATCACAACACCAAGGAGACCAGCAAAATGTTCCAGACTTGGAGAGACGCTGTGGACAAAGCCATACCCGCCGGGTGGTCGTCCGCATCTGCTGCACAAGGCGCCTCCGACACCGCAGAGGCTGCTCCAGCGGCTTAACTCAAAGCAATCCCGTTCGAATCTAAGTTATTGTTATTGTTTTGCCGGTCAACTATTGTCTTAACCAACACGTTGGCCTAATGATAAATAAAAATATAAAATATAATCTCGACCGTACAAGTACAACAGGTGTTTTGCTTTAGTCGCACGTGTGCAGTACCGTTTTTTAATACTCCCAGTTTTGTGTCTTTAGTAGATCATGGTTTTTAATACGAACTGGAGTGTTCAAGGGGTTTTCGGTACGTGCTTCTCGTAAAGAATTAAGCGGGATACTAAATTTTAAATAAATAGACTTTAAATACAATTCTCTTCACAAAAAAACCTTAATTAAAACGGAGGATGATAGGATTGACGTTTACGTAAGTTCAACTCTCGAGTCACAACTTACGCCAAGTACTTTTGCACAAAATATGTATATGCATTAATATTCGCGTATTCTTTGTGGCTGAAGCACAAAGTTATTAAATATAATTTGTATAAAATTGCATAGGTATGCAATGATTGCTCTGAGGTATGTTTTTGAACAGATATCCACATATGTAATAAGAATCTGCCTAAAAAAAGGAGTCATCCAGAAACCTGCTAATTACAAAATAAAATTGCTTACTACTATGTTGTTTACTTTCATAAATAACATATAGTTATAGTAGACTATATGAAAATCATACAGTCAATGTAGAAATTTAGTTATAAAGTCTGCGATTTAACCTTTTCAAAAAAAAAAATTACCATTGATCTAGGTTCTAATATAGGTAATGTTTTGGCAAATCATCAAAAATGTTCAGTTTATTATTTGAACTCGATACATTTTTTTACAATTTTTCAAATGTAAAAGAGCCAGTACAGTGGGGACGGAGAGGTCACAGGTCTACAGATTTTAATAAAACTGAAAGTGATAAAATCACTTTTAAATAAACGCTTCGATGCGAATCTGTGGATAGTATGTTCAAATCAGTTATAGTGGTTTAGAAGATATCGTGGGACCAGCAATAATGTACTTAAAATTTAATATTTAGTCTTGTGTAGGGTGGATACGATAAGGGTTGATCGTCTGTCTATAAAAATGTACTGTCATAGTTACCCATATATCGTAATTAACAATATAATGAAACTATTTTCATTACCTGTGGACTGTTGATTCACACACACAGCAATTTAGAAACTGACTACGGCCAAAGTGTAAATTTACCCTATTCTAAGGGTTTTTCCTTAATAAAAAAAAAATTTGACTACAGATTTTTGAGAAAATTGTATATGTTATAGTTCCGTTTTAGATCTACCTTCGGTCTAATTTTCAGATCTAAATCTCTAAAACTTTGCTTGAAAAAGTAAAATAAAGAAAAAAATTCTATCCCTTCTAGGGGAAAGGGTTTATGATATTTTTTTGTTTTGTTGATGTTCATCGATAGTACTATGTTTGAAAAACAATTCATATAAATTTGGAACTTTTTCGACTATTTTTAAAAAAGTTATAGAGCATCGTAACTTTAAGTTGAAAAATTTGTAAATCTTTTGGGGTTTTTCTCGATTTTGATGAGGAAGGGGTGACTTTTTAAAATTTATTGCCAGCTATAGTACCTTTCAGGTATGATTTCTGATCTATAGAGTTGCTACACGAAGAAATCGGTTCAGCGGTTTACGAGATATCGTGGGTCCAGACACAAAAAAAAAAAAATTATAACACATAATTGTAAAAACAACCGCACCGAAGCTAAAAGGTGATTGTAAAATAAGCGGGCAGTATTTCTTATGATGGATCGTGTCTAGGATACGCACTTGATAAAATTATTGTATAAACAATAAAGTCATGAAAAGAAAATTAACAATCAACGATACAATATGGTAGGTTTGTTATGTAATAATCATTACATTAGGTATTAAATAAAAACGTTAAGCCTGGGTTATAATAACATATGCTTTGAGAAGATATCTACTAATAGGTATATGAATAAATTAAAACCCTGGCAGTATAAAAAAAGTAAAGTTAATAATCATATTTATACCTTATTTACGTTGGCGGAAATTATTTATTTGTTAAAAAGCTATATTTAAAAACAGTAAAACATTTAAATTTTAAATAGCTTCTAATTACATGAAGAAAAAAAATATATATATGTCAACAAAAATTGTATAAAATAATTTCAATTGTGTTGTTGGTTAAAAAAAATATATATATTGAAACAAAAGCTGTTAGATGGCTACTAGATAATTTGTTAAATTAATTAACAATATATAACACAAATATTGAACTTAATGTAATAATTATTATAAAACATCAACTATTTTGTTATGTTGCCATTTTTGTTTATCCGTTATCATTAACTATTGTTAGGCGTCTGGATGTAAATCTATGGTTTGTTATAAAATTGTACATTTTTTACTCTTGATATGTTTTAGAGAAAAGAAGAAAAAACTATCCTATAATACGACTATATAATACCTGTGACCATGTGTCATAAGTATTATATAGTCATAATATACTATTGAATTTAATATTTTTCTATATCATCTTCACCTCCTATGTAGCATAGAGCGTATTAAGACACATATTTATTATATATTTTCAATATATTACATGTATTGTTTAACCCAGATATATTGTTTTAAGAATACCCTTAATTGATACACACCATTCAGGTGGAACGGATGAATAGAGATAGGGAGAATACTGAGGACATACATATTGTTATGAAAAACATACCATGTGGCTTAATATTTTAAATAAAATAGAAAATTGGTTTAACCATAGTATATCTGACACGACCGAAAAATCACCCTGGGAGGTATTAAAAAATAAGCCGCCGGATCGACCTATTAGGGATTTATTAAAAATGTAATATTCCGCCGACGGAAGTAAAAGAAAATAATATCATTGCTATTGTTCGCGAAAATAGTTTAGGTAAAGCGTTAAATAGAAAATTAAAAAGCTGAGTGTAATAAACATTTTATAAAATACTCGGTAGGACAGTTGGTTTTGGGTAATAACCCATCCAAAATCGTCAAGTTTTGAAAAGGAAATTAAAAAATTATTTTTACTTTTCGATGGTCCTTATAAAATAACAAAATAATTAGCAGAAAATACTTTTATTGTAAATGATTTACAGAGTGGCAAGGCATCAGTGGAAAATGTCAGAAATCCCTGACCGTGCAAGACACGGAGCGTCCAGGAGTTGACCGGGAAGATCGACCAACTCCTCAACGACTTCCTCGGTTATCACCACGATGAACACGAACTAATGGAGGCGGAATGGTCTGAGCCATCCGACTCAGAGGATGTGGTAATGGTCGAAGAATGTCTAACGAAAACTCAACAAAAGGTCGATACCCCAGTACTAGCATTCGACCTAGATAACAAGTTTCATCAAATCAATAGTGACACCCTAGTGGTACAAACATTAACCACCGAAGAAAAAAGCCAGTGAAGATAGGCGTAAGGCCGGTAACATCCGAGGCCGGCAGAAAGTATAGGTGCCGGGAGTTAGTCTGTGACAGCTCCTTTCCCACCAAACAAGGCTTGGCGAATCACACGGACAAACCGTTTTTTTCATAATTCTATGTTAAGTACAAGGTGATGGTTTTTTTGGTTACATTTACTCTGGAACTTTCCACACTCGCCGCATTAAAAACAGTAAAAGAAATTATCAGTCCCTTGGATTCTATAGTATATATTCTAAGGCATAGAATATATACTTTAAAAAAATCCAACAATACCTTGAAAAATAAAATATAATTTACATACAAACATTACTCTTTTTTTCTCTGACCTTTTTTTATGTATTTACGATTTATTATGGGAAATATATTTAAAGGCAGAATCGGCCTCACCAGAGCCACTAACGCGGCCGGGGTTCTCAGCTGTGATGGGACCCCTAAACCTCGGAAGTCCCGGGCATTTAACAGTGTAGTTGGGTTTTGATGGGAACCTGCTGTTAAATTATACAGAATATGTTGGTTAGGTCGTTTAAAGATATTAAAATGTATTGAATGTACTTAAAAATTTACTAACTTCTATGCCCAAAGGCGATTTATCGTGACCTCCATAAGCACCTACGACATCTATCTGCCCTAGGATCACATGGATTCGTCCCTTACAGTTAAGATCCCCCCTGCGACATCTAGAGGATTCGGTCAATCCTTGCGAGATTAATTTAACAAAAACGTATTGGAATCCTCTATGGCATAACATTTCGACTTCTGTTAGTTTGAATTTCTGAGTTAATTTTTTAAAAAGACGGTTTAAACAGCGTCCATTCTATGTACTTAGCAAGTTAACAGTCTAATTACGGGTTATACTTGATTTTGTCGATTTACCGTATCGTTATTCCAAAAGTCTTAGATATCGTTTTTGTTATTATAAATTTTAAAGATTTGTCTAGCCGATTCTAATACCATGATGCGTCTACCTACCAATACATTTTGTTGAGTGATAACCGTCAAGATCCAGGCAAAAAAAGGAAAGATAAACAATTTTAGCTTTCGTATCGAAGCTATAATAAAATAGAAACTGATTTTTAGAAAATCACAAATACAAAAATTAAAACGTGCAAAATATTCGTAAACATAAAAACCGATTTATGCCAAAATATGTAAAACTAATTTTTAAATTTGGATTCTTTAAAATGTAATTAAAATTTGTAGTAAAGATACTGTTAAATCCATGATATTATTCTGTTATTATCTTTTACTATTTTAAATTGTATGTAATTTTAGTTTTAATTTTTTTTATAGAGAACTACAGAAGTGTTCAGTTGTATGAAACATTTTCTTATTTTATTTTATGTTCTGTTATAAATTATGTTGTTTTCTAATTAACTATTTTATATTGAATAACGTTGAATACGTGTAATACGCCAAGTATGCAATGGCGATTGTTGGTAGAATCTGTTTGAAAAAAGAAAAAAGCATATTTTACAAGGCTTCAAGTTCTTAAAGCTCCATCTGGAATAGCGATTGTGCGACCAAATGTAAAATGTGACCGTCTAGCAATTAGTGCTTTTCAACCCAGTTGCGACAGACTCGGACGACCCGCAGTCGTGCTAATCATCAGGTCTGGAAAGACCGCGTTCAGACTCAGATGATGAGCAGCTAAGTCCAACAAAGCGAAGACGGCCAAC